GGTCACCATTTCGATCTGGAGAGTGTAAAGATCCTAGCACATGGAAGTACAAAACACGAGAGGGAATTTTCGGAAGCCTGGTACTCTACAACGCATGCAATCAATCGACACATCGAACTTGACGCAGTATACGCCGCGCTACTGACGAAGGACCGACAACTCGATCGATTGAATCCGGTGGAACGTGTGACTAGACAACCCGAACTGGCGGCAGACTCACTCGCATGAACAAGCGGACAAAGGAGGTGAGGTCAAGGTCATCTGCCCATTAAGCAAGCTGAACACGGATCGAAGTCCCAACCAATAGGATTGCTCGGATCCACGGCCAACCACGACGGTATAAAAACGCACGCACAGCAAGCTCAGCGCACTCTCACCGAGGCTCCTCTACGCTACTCTACGCTATTGCACGCCACTCCACTACGCACTGATGATGTCACCACGATTGGTGACGAAACGTTTGCAAGAAAATTGTCAAGCTCAGCGAACAGTTCAACAGCCATCTGAACAATCTGAGCTACCAGCCTTCAATTATATTGTCAACACCCTACTTCGGCTTGGGCAACCGTGTAGTATCTCGCCCTCTGACGAAACCATTGACTTTAATGCGTTGTGTTTTCTTTTACAATTTTTGTACCTTCTTTTGTGTTCCATTATTTCTGATGGCTCTATTTCTATTCATAGACTGTTGCATATATATATATATATATATATATATATATATATATATATATATATATATAGAGAGAGAGAGAGAGAGAGAGAGAGAGGTGGGCGTCCTCGCGGTATACTCAGCTCGCGCGCGACTGGTGGTGGTCGCGCGTCAGCGAAGCGCCGTTACGGCGTACAGCTGACACATTATTATTATTAAACCTGTAACACCATAGAAATAAACTGGGACCCACCTGCCACACCAATGTTAGCAGCTGAAGATGTGAATAAGGAATCAGAAGACGAACAGGAACAGACGTTCTGAAAACGTATACATTCACAGACGTAAAGGGTGTTTTTGCTATATTGCGCTCCTACGCATTACATACCGGACACAATGACATGCTTGAATTATTCCCATGAACGTGAGGGAAAAACTAACTTCATCTTTCATTTCAACTGCCAAACAACAGACCCCTGTACTTACTTTTTTCATCTGTTGGAAAATGATTACGACAATAGCAATGTGCCTGTGCGACATTTCCAATACATGTGGATTTCGATGATTTGCAGGTCAGTTGTTAAAATCTTGACTCATAGACAGTAACTATATTGCATTTTTAAGTACTCCAGATGTCCCACATTATACACAACTACTGTTGTTGCCCTACTTAGAAGCTAAAATTGATTGGAGGTTCCGTAGCTTAACATATCTAGTTCGCGATTTGAAAGTTTATCACACATGTGGAGTGGATCATGAGTAGTGTCGCCTATGCATGAACCTGTGCATGGCGATCATCTGTCCAAGGCGATCACTTTCTGTCGGTCCCTTGAGTGGTCTCCTTGGACAGGTTCGACTGTAGTACTATGTAACAGAGTGTAGGTGAGTGAGTGAGATATCCCAACGTCTTTTAGATATGGATAGTGATTGTACCGGAATAACCGATTCTGCAAGAGCATTCCACGGGTGACACACGCGAACGGAAAGGAAATTCCTGCGGCAATCCAGCCGGCTGTTCTGTTCTGTCAGTTTTAGTAGGTGACCTCTCAGTCCACTGGCGCACATGTAGGCCAGATTCGTGAGGAATAAGCCGCGTTTCGTCGAAATCGAGGTTCTTTTGGTCACAGCTTCGCTTTACCTCGATAGTTGGAGCATATTACCTGATCTACCTTAAAAAAATCGCCCAAATGAAGCAGTTGAGCAACGCGGCATTCCTACTAGGGATAGCAAGAAAACAATGTTCGTTCATGGTGTTCCCGAGCTACTGCATTCTTCTGATCATGATGCTCAAACACATGACCGAGAGCAGTAGTGCTATATTCGCGAAGCGCTCCCTGCTAGCAATGTTACTGTCAAATCCTTGACAAGAGTTCCGTCATCACCTAACTACAAGGGCTGCGGTCCAAGATTAATGAAAGTAATAGCACACTCCGTGGGAATGACGCAAGTTCTGTTGGATAACCGGTTAAAGTTTTGAGCCAGGTTGCTAACAGAGCTCCGGATAAAGGCAGCAAGCGAACGGCCAAGAGTCGTGAGCAATTCGAAGGAACTTGCAATCGCTGCAAATACTTTGTCTGCACAGTCCTGCGGAAAGACCGACAAAACAGCACCCACGACACACAACAGGACGGAGAACAGCACGAGTGAAACGTCTGTTCAGGAACCCTCATTAACGGTATACAACTTGACTGAAATTCATAAACCCAAGAACGATTAATGGCCGCCACCTAACGGCCGGCTTAAAAACGAATGTCAAGTTGACATCCATCAACGCATTCCTAACAATAAAAACCCTATCTTGTATGTACACAAACGCCCAAGGCCTTCTAAGCAGGTTAGCCGAACTTAGAGAATTGCATGCCTCACAACCGCGAGACCTCGCCATGATCACAGAGACATGGTTAGACCCTGAGATAACCGATTCAGACATCAATTTCTCCGGTACGTCGCTGATTCGGAACGATAGAACCGGAAACGGGCGGTGATGTGAATCTTTAGTATAATACAAACCTCCGAAGTGAACTTATCGATCATCCGGTAATTCGAGCTCCTGATTCGCTTTGATGCCGCCTATGGTTGCGAAACAAGGACACATGTCTACTAGCCTTGTTTTACCGCCCACCAAACGCAACGTCGCAAATGGACTCCAAACTGAAGCACGTCTTTCAGTTTTCTTTGAGCAAGTCCTACACCCACATTCTTATCGCCCGAGACTTTAGCGTGTACGACATAGAAACGCCGGCAAGGGACGGTACGCAGTTTAAAGCCTGCTTACAAGAGCTAATTGCTAGCCACCCTCTGTACAACCACATAACCTCTCCCACCAGATTCCGAACTGCTAACAAGCCGTCGATACTGAATCTTGAGCTCACTAACGGAGAATTCGTGGTTGACGTAATAGTTACAAGCATACCACTGGGTCGAATTTAACATGTTACACTAATCTTTGACTATATATCCTATGCGGGGTATCCTGGAAAGGCGGATGATAAAGTGCATGCTGTCACGCATTAAAATGTGTTATCTACGCTTGTTAAGGATACACCTTGGACTTTCTTAACCGAAAGCCCCCCAGATGTTGCCTGGGAAAACTTTGCAGACGTTTAGCACACTGGTAGCGCACTCATCGGAACAGTAGTGAGCAATTTGGAGCCGCTCGGTTACACATGATCTGGATGTCACCAGATACCTATCTGTCCAGCCAAGTGGAGGTTCGGCACGTAATCATGATGGAGACCGTCACTCGACAATAATATTTTCAGCCGGCAGTCCCCATGCAATTACGAATGATCGGGACAGTCACTGGAGATTTACCTCTCGTCGGCAGGTGCCAGAACACCGAAGAGCCTTCCGTTGAGGCAGAAAGCAACGATGACTCACAGCAAATGTTCCGAGCAACAAATGAGGGGCAGCAACGGTTCCAGTTCCCTTGCAGCTGCAACAGGTATGTCAAGCAACTAAGACTGTTGCACGCCCGTCAAATATCCCCGCAAAAACGCGTCAGAATCTCCGGCATAATGGTTGTGGAAAGCGGGGTCCAATTCCTCCCCACAACGCAGCAGCCTTCAACCACTCCGAGACATGGCACAACTGCGCACCTATTGACAATGCTCGTTTACAAACTACCACCCCGTCGTGGTAGCAATTTTCCCTAACTTAATGACCCATTGCATTGGCTGTGATTCGCCCTTTGTTGGTCGTAAAACAGCCTTCAGAGGACCACCTGTCTTCGCCTTAGTTGGGAGTCGGTCGGTCACGTGGTTTTGTGTGCGTCGATGGTCGCGCAGTGTTCGCCTTTAAGTCACTAGCGCGCGCCTACCGTAACCCCTCTCGTGTGCGTCCGCTCCGAGGGCTCAGCATCTACCCGAATAGGTGCAGCTAGGATCGTTCTCACGCTCGCTCAATTTCCGCCTCACCAACGCGTACCCCGGGCTAAGCTAACGCCATCAGGTCAGAGCAACTCCGTTGGATTGGCCAGTGCTCCAACCGTATCAGTGACAATCTTATCAGGCATCTACGCAATTAAAGCATGCTATTTTTGCGAGGGAGATGTTATAGTTAGAACAATCCTAACTAACCCAACTAGCATGATCCTCGATCAACCGCTTTCGATCATTGTATTGAACACTTCGTCATAGCCAGAGCAGCGTTCACATTTGGCATCATGGGCGGACCCAATACGGTTGTCCAACTTGGTGAAATACATAGATTCTGGAAAATGTGCCCATTCTTATAACACTCGGTTACAACAGTAGAAGTGTTTTCGATTCGGTTGAAATGCAGCATTCAACATGCTTCTTGATATGTCATTTGACTATGAATACGACTTCACTCGCTATTCTTATGTGGAGGCGGGTGCTTGTCAAGTTCAAGTTCAGGTGGGACTGGAACGATAGGATGAATCCCGTAAGTGTTCTTTTTTGATCCAGGAGTTGATAGGGGTGCTCCCACTTCTTGATGGATCTAAAACGAAAACACCCTGGTCCACCAATTTAATGCCCACGTTCCTTACAGTAGCTGTCCCTGCTATGCCAGTTGCGTGAAGTAAGTAAGCGAAGAAAAAAATCGAAGGGCAAGAGTAAGGGAAATCAGTTAAAAGAAATGTGACATGTTAATATTACCTGCTAAAACAGATTAATCCGTCGTTACCCACTGGCAACTAGCTGATTTGTAATGCATCCAGTCTTTCGTCTCCAGTTCCCAATGATAAAATTGAGGAAGAAACGTTTGTGATGAGCCTCTAAGGAAGAACCGTAATATGTTTGGCAGAACTAATCGGTTTTAATCTTTCACTAACGGTGATCATTGACATCAGTGGAAGGTAATCCTATTAAGGTAAAGAACTTACCAATCAAAGGGAAATTTTTCACAGCGCTTGGTGTGGATTCTGCCAATAGGAGCAACAAGACGAAAAACGCCACGAAGATGTTCATACCTGAAATGAACAGGTGGATACAAATCGACTACTTTCAAAGCGCGTCTGATGCTTTTCTGGACTAGACTGTGCTATGTAATTTGTGAGCTATTTGGACGAAAACATCAGCATTTAAAATCTTCCTACTCATTAGCAATACTTCCAACTAGTCGAGAACAACATAAAGCATGTTGGAAGCCACATTGTGGGATTGATGGTGGACTCAGTTAGTTCAACGATGGTTTCACTAACTTTTACTGCGTGGAACCCTACGGTATTTGCCGGCCCACTAAATGATCCGCCAAGAATTGCGATCACCGCGCAGGGAACCTGGGCACTATCTGCTTTGTTTCTGATGCTCGATCTAATGATACACCATTGATCTGTTCAATTAACTGATGAAATCCTCATGACATTGGCGTCTGGTTTCCTAGTGTCTGGAAATGAGATATATACACAAACTAAATGGCGTGGTAAACAGGGCTTTCTTCTAAACGCGCAGTCTATGCCAGAATCGGCAACTGTCCATATAGATATGTAGGTATTGGGATAACTTGGTTAGTATTAATGTGGTTTGCAAATTCTCAACTTTGCAACTTTTTGTCTATGGATATCTACCACTACGTTCCAAATTCCAACTGTTATTGTTTGTTTGATCACAGCTGTTTATATCTCGCAAATCGGTCTCGGTCTTTGTTTATTCGCACCACTGTGCTTAATTGATGCACCAGTTAAAAACTCTTCACTGTGTACTTCATCATCAACATATGGTCCGTTGTTGACCGTTTCACCGTTGACCAGATCACAGACGCTGTTCTAGCTCAATGTTCAACAGCAATCTGACGACGTTCACATACCTAGTCGTAAGCCATTCCCAGCCATTTGAAATTGTTATTATGGAACCGCATTTTATTGCTTCCGTTACCTCGTGCTTTTCCACATCGTGTCTTTGGAATCAAACCGTGCGTGAAACTAGACCCATAGAGTGTAGTGCTTCGTTCAGTGGAACTTACAGCAATCACTTCTATACTGAATGGCGATTCGACCCATTTGACACCTTACCGAATCCAGCAGTCTCCTGAACGTACACCCAATCACACAACCGAAGCAGTAGATTCAAAGTTATAACTCTCATAGCAACTAGCCATGGTGTTTGCGGGTACTGGCTACATGCCGCTGCACATGGGGATTGAACCAGACGAAACGATAGAGAACTATTAATTCTCTATGAAACAAATGGAAGAATGTACTTGCTCTTTCGGATTGAGTAGGCACAAAGTGCGCATATTACATCACTCATCTCCTCGTGCAACGAGCTGGCTTGTTCTAACGTCGACGGTTAACAGCGGGCCAATGGACCACCTGAAGTTTACGCAACGTGTGGTCTCATATCAACTTACCCAGCATCATTTTCGCGGGGGACTCGGGAGGCAACCAGAATACGACCAAAGTGAGAGAGGAGAGGAGTACGCATGGAATGACCAGCATGAACACGTAGAAACTTGGGTTGCGACTCAATCGGACCAAATAACGCAGAACGGGGTATTCACGGGACACTACTTCATCACCAAACGTTTGATTCCGACGTCGATAGCTTTTTACGGATGGAATCTGTGAGGGTATTAGGTCATATAGAGGAGAGCTGAGTAGCTATCGAACGAAGTATAATGACACCATGGTAACCAGCGAGAGTGTTAAATGAAAATGGTGCTCAAATGTTTAGAGTAGGGGTGTCCAAAGTCCGGCCCGCGGGCCAAATACGGCTAGCGTTAACATTTCAATTGACCCGCGATCTAATCATGAAATAATAAATGCAGGCTTGGACTATTTCGTACATGTGTAATTTGTGTTATTATCTTACTATCAGACTGAATATAGCCAGACTTATCGTTGCCTTACAAAGTATGGACCTCCTTGCAAAGGTTTGGACACCCCTAGTTTAGATGGACCTACTATGAGTCATCGGAAAGTTATCAGTCGAACTATTTGGCACCACATCAGCGTAGGGTGTTATGTTGTACACTTGGTCCTTTGAAATGGCAATTCAAAAGGAATGAACAGTAGTCCAAGTGAACCCTGTAAGGTGGTCAGTTGTAATTCTTGCTGACACAAGTTTAGCTACTTATTCCAACCACCAAGAACACAACTGACCCGTACAATTGCTCAGTTGCGACACCAAAACAGGTAAGTCATCCCAAGGTGTGCGGGGAAAATTCCAAACAAGTAACCCTTACCAACCGGTGTTTCCACTCAGTTTGAGCGATACCCACGTGATTCACACGAGAACCATACAAATCTGAACAATGTGTTGCGAACTCTCTACACACTACCACAGCACTCTGTAGTGGGAGCAAGAGCAGCCCAACCAAGGGTAAATTTGCTTGACCATTACGCCTCTAATAGATTTTGTATAGCCCTACGAAAATCAAGAGGAGTGGCTGGGTGGCGATCACAAATCTGCTAATATGGGACACATGGGGACGTTTTTCAATGTGCGTTACTATTCCCTGAGACGCATTTTAAATAGTCTCTCCTTTCCGGATTTTTGCCTGCGTTCACCTGCTGGTGTCCATCATTTGTTCTCAAATGTCTGGACCAATCGTCGCGCGTTGTGCACACCCCAAACTCATTTCGGTCGGTTCATTCGATACTTGAGCTGATTGGTTATTCATCAGTTAGTTTCGCCCGCTCGGCCTATCATCATGCGATGAGCACTGACCTCCGAACCTGTGTCACCAGCGAGCAACTCGCTTGCTGTTAACCAAGACAAAGACCGTGTTTGACTCACCAACTGTGCCCCAGACCTACTTTGTTCCCTTGACCAGGTAAACCTGGTGACTTTGTGGTCGTGGTGCCGATTGACTTTCCCGGCCCCTAGTCAAGCATCATTACAATGGATGATTATTCAAAAATGTCAATTGACTAGACCAGTCAAATGCCAAGTAACCCAATGAACGTGAGAAAGGAAGTGAATGTGCGAGTTGTACTTTTGAAAGAGATTTAGTCTCCGCAATAAGTGGGAACATAAGCGAGGACTCCGTAGTTGTGACTTGACGTTACTGAGTAACATTTTAACCATAGCCAGTACTGCATTTTCTACTATAGAAAATATTTTCGTCTGATAGAGCCGGGGATGCTGGATAACACTCTGTGTGTATGTTGAGCTAATTTATCGAGTGGATGTGGGTCAGCAATGGAGCTTGTCACCGCTGGGGACATTGGGGCGGACGTGATCAGATTATGTGTGAATACAAGCCAACTGCCAAATGTAATTCGACGCTTGGATCCAGGTGTAGAAAGCAATTTGGCTGGATGTCCTACAATGGGAGCGACAATGAACGATGAATTTCTACGGGTTAAGAAGCGTTGCTTTACAAGCCCCGTTAAATAGCTGGTCGGGATATCGACATAACATTAATGATAATACTAAGATTATAAATACTAATAATTAATTTTATTATTATTTTATACGTACTATTAGTTTAAGTAATAATAGCAAAACAGTTAGTACTTAAATATGAAAATAGGGACTTATCGCTTGTTCCACCGTAGTCTTACAATGCACTTAGATTCACAGCACCCACAGTTAACAACAAATAATTTCATGGTAAACTCCAGGTGTAGGATGGAGACGTAATTTTAAGTAACAAAGTGTAAGTGGATGAGTGCATCATCTAACCGTCTTTTAAATACTGCTAGTGTCGGTGCAGAAACGACCTATCCTGGGAGAGCATTTCACAGGTGACAGACTCGAGTGGGTAAGAAGTTTCTGCAGCACTCCAGATGGCTACATTTTACTGCGAGTTTTAGTGAGTGACGCCTCAGGGTTGTATTGGTGTTAAGTCGCAGTAAAGGGCGGCACACATGATGTGGGTCTCCCAGAATCAAGTATGTCATAAACAGGTCGCCTCGTAGTCTGCGATAGCTTCCACTGAATACCCTCAATCGTTGCAGCCTCTTCTGGTATGAAAGACTGCGTTTTCCAATTACGTTCTTAGATTCCCGACGTAGTGGCTGCTCCAGTGCATTAAGGTTGTGTTTCAGCCATGGATGCCAGGTTTGGATCGCATATTCGACATGGGACGGACATACGCACTGAGCATTTGTCGAAATATGGAGCTGTTTATTCGTCCAAACGCTCGTCACAACCGCACGACTTGTTGGTTTCCAGTCTCCGTGGCCCTTTCGGATTACCGGGAACAACTCAAGTCATCTTGAACCAAGACATCCAAGTCGCGATCGAGAGTCGATGGTTGTAGTATATTCGTTCCGAGCCGGTATGGGTCGCTGCTCTGATGCCGGATGGAAAGCACCGTGCACTTACTGACGTTAAAAGGCAGTAAGTTTTGGGTTGACCACTAATTAACTGTATCGAGGTCACTCTGAGGCAGATGCTGGGCGGCGTTCGCCTAGATCATGCACCAGATCTTGATATCGTTGGCAAACATCAGGAAGTTTGAAGCGATCCTGTGCATGGTCATCAATAAACACCAAAAACAAACGTGAACCTAGAACTGAGCCATGCGACACGCCGCACTCGATTTGTATGGGGTCCGATAAAGAGCTCTGAACTCTGACTACCAATTGCCGTTGAAGTAGAAAGTTGGCAACCAGTTTAAAAGGGGTGGTAGAACCAGTAATGCTGGAGCTCGGAGAGTAGTATCCGATGGACTAGACGATGGAAAGCCTAGGAAAAATCCAGGTAGGTCACATTAATGCCTTCTCCAGCGTCAGCTGCCTCAGTTTAAGTACTGCATGCGTTTAGTAAAATTCGTTGTGCATGACCGCTTTCGACGAAAACCCTGCTGCTCAGGCGTGATGATGTCACAATTGCCCAGTGCATCGGCAACTATGGATTCTCTGACCTTGGAGAGTATAGGAAGAAAGGATACTGGACGGTAATTGGAGGGATCAGTTCCGCTTCCAACTTGGTGAATCTGGGTTATTCTTCCAAGCTTCCACCTAGCAGGAACTTGATTCTGGTCTAAGAAGCGCTGGAAAAACAGAGCTAAAGGTCCTGCCAGTTGGTTTGCTGCTGCTCCCAATGCCTCTGGACGAATGGTGTCGACACCCGGCGAGCTGTGTTTGCGTAGAGAAGTCAACTTTTGCAATACAGCCTCTGCGGTAAAAGTGATGTGGGTTAGTCCTGGCGAGGAGACGACAAAGTTTGGAAGATCGCTTGGTAGCCAGACTCTCTGAAACGTGGAGGCATATTGCATCCGCAGCGCGTTTGCTGTTTCCACAGATGTTCTTGTTGGGCCATTGGCCGTCTTGAGTGGAAGAAATCCTTGCCTTACCTTTCATAGTCTATTGACATGCTTGCACTACACTTTTTGGTTATCATTGAAGGTTTTTGCCATGTTGTGCTGATAAGCGACTTTGTCTTCTCTTAGCAGTTGTGTGCAGTAGTTACGCTGGGATACATAGTTATCCCAAGTTTCTGATGTTGGAGCTTCTCCTTGCGTGATAACCGCTTCATTTCCCAGGGGATACTTGAGTCTAGACAAGTGTTCAGCATTTCGTAAAACGGTGGCATCCGACCTACGCAGCTGCGCTAAGGTTTGTACAGCACAACGTTTTGTTCCAACTTGTGACGGTCGCTCCGTGTCGACGCTCTTGCCTTCGTGTAGACATCGCGGGGCTCACATTCATTCGACTAGATTTATCAGCTCTAGAAGATGCACATTTCTCTTACGGATTATTCTTATCGTTTCAAAAGCTGATTCCCGTCTACGTTTTTAATGGATTGTTGTTGCTGAAATGCGAGAGAACTTTCTTGAGGAGACCAAGTCAACCAAAAGTCGTTCTTCTCTATTATCATTGGCGGTGGCTTCCTCTCATTCTCTAGAACTTTGTCGCTTGCCCAGCATTCATTTGATATGGATCGATTACCCAAAGCCAATCGCCACTCCTTGTGACCTTGTCAACCAATGCGCTGGCGTAAGCCATTACACCGACCAGCGCAGCCACATTGCCTGCTTTATCGAGCCTACTGATCACCGTTCGTCCAGCGGGTGTTCGCAAGTGCCCAAAACTACGACAAGGTCTGACACCTTCAATCTGCCAACCGTCAGCCATCTCACCTAGTGTGCGTGTTTTGACGTGTTTCTGTGCTAAGTGCACACCTGGCTCACAGCACATTCAACAAACGTGAGCTCCATTACAACAGCGACGACTCGGATAGGCCTGGCTGCAAACGACAACAGTGTAGCCAGCATTCCAAACATGGTGCAACGCCTCGTGTGCTTTTAAGCTCCCCTTGTGGAAGTCCTTAAGATCGGGGTAACCTGTTCTGGCTGCATTAGAGCGTGCCATATGCAATTTATAGGAAATCCGTCCGAGAAGCTTGGCAGATAAAAAAGCTCTGACGTATTTCGGTTTTGTCCAAGACGTCAAATCATTCCAGTTGTCAACTGTTCATGTGTGTCTATGTCGAAATGCGATAGCTTGACGGAGATAAGCGCACAATTAGTGAATAATAAGATCGCTCCCTGGAAGATAAATATGGCCATGCTAATAACACAACCAGCCAACGCTGGCCCATCTCTAAGCCGAAGAAGCAAGCCAGACGCTCTAAGCGACGCCTGACATCGTAGGCATCAGTTGCTTCC